AGAGGCCATCTGGAGGATAGTTACTACAGGACTTTTTCAGACCAAGTCTAAGACAAGTTTTTTAAATGCACGTGAAATGCATGTGGAATCTGCCCAGTCTGTGTGCTCATTGTGTCTGACCCTTTGTAGCCCCATGGGCTGTAGCCTGCCAGGCTCCTCTGTCCATGGAATTTTCCAGGCAAGAATACTGGAATGGGTTGCCATTTCCTACTCCAGGGGATCTTCCCAACCCAGGGATCAATCCCTTGTCTCTTGCATCTTTACCACTAGCGCCACCTGGGAAGCCCTGGAATCTTCCTGGACCAGGGATCAAACTCCTGTCCCCTGCATTAGCAGGCAGATTCTTAGCCACTGTACCACCAGGGAAGGATGAGGTGCCTACCATACTATTGAATTTATTTGCTTGTTTATTGCCTGTTACCTCCTCTCACACCTATTCCAACTAGGACAGGGGTTTTTGTCAGGTTCTAAGTCCTCAGCATCTGGAAGAGTTCCCGGCACGTAGTTAGCCCGTAGTATGTTTTAGTTGAATCACTGATTACCTATTTTATGGATGAAAAAATGAAAGTGTAGAGAGAAGGGACCTCCCCAAAATCACACACCCAGGAAATGATGGAGGCAGAATTCTAAACCATGCTTGTATCCACCACAATAACCTCTCCCCCCAAATATGGCCTGTGTTTGCAGTCATAAAAATGGAATTGATAAATAACTTATTCTAAGAAGATATTCATTGTAGATGATGTTTTTTAAAAATGATAAAAATCTATATATCTAGCATTATGCTTTTTTGGAAGTAAAATAGATATATGCACAGATACTAGGAATTAGCAGACTTCAGTGGCCAACCCCGCCCACCCACCGCCTTTGGTTTTGGTTTAGCCTATGAATTGAGAATTTTAAAATGTAAAGGATAAGAAACAACTACAGTCTTTCGGCAGGAATGGTTACTTAAAGCATTGAGGACATTACCCCTTGGATCACAAAGTCTAAAGAATTTACTGTCTGACCCGTTACAGAAAAATTGCCGACTTCTGGTAACACCAAAGAGACCAACAAACTCTTGCGGTGCCCTTCGGGCCCACTGGATCAACGCAGCATCCTCTCTCTATCCCAAGGTCAGCCGACCTGAAATCTATCTGCTGTCTTAACTCCTCTTTGTCAGGTAACAGCACAGTCACAGCTTCTGAGGCTTGCTACTGCTGCTGCTAAGTCACTTCAGTCGTGTCCGACTCTGTGCGACCCCATAGACGGCAGCCCACTAGGCTCCCCTATCCCTAGGATTCTCCAGGCAAGAACACTGGAGTGGGCTGCCATTTCTTTCTCCAATGCATGAAAGTGAAAAGTGAAAGGGAAGTCGCTCAGTCGTGTCCAACTCTTAGCGACCCCATGGACCGCAGCCTACCAGACTCCTTTGTCCATGGGGTTTCCCAGGCAAGAGCACTGGAGTGGGTGCCATTGCCTTCTCCTCTGAGTCTTAGACAAGCACATCTTTGGGAAGCCTGATGGCTTAGAGAGAGAGCCGGGTCTCCACATCCAACAGGATAGAGATTCTCAGACATTATTATCAGGTATTGTTATTATGGGCTTCTCAGGTGGTGCTAGAGGTAAAGAACCCGTCTGCCAATGCAGGAGACATAAGAGACGCAGGTTCGATTCCTGAGTTGGGAAGATCCCTTGGAGGAGGAAATGGCAACCACTCCAGTGTTCTTGCCTGAGAAATCCCATGGACAGAGGAGCCTGGCGGGCTACAGTCCACGGGGTCGCAAAGAGTCAGACACGACTGAAGTGACTTAGCATTATTTTTATACTGATTCTTAGATCTTGTTAGGCAGTATGTAATAAATGGTATTATTTTATCTAATCCGCCAAGGATCCCCAAATGTGCATACCATTATCTCCGTTTTGCATATGAGGTGACTGAGGCCCCGAGAGGTAAGGTGATCTACCCAGGATCACCCAGCTACAGCGTCAGGGTTGAAGACTGAGCCCAAGGACATGGGGCTCCAAAGTCTGCAGTTTTTCCGCAGGCTCGGCCTTGTTATCGCTGACGTGCGCAGAACAGTCTCTTCTACTTGATGGATGCGCCAGGAAGGGTACAGAAACCTCAGCTAATCAGTTGCTCAGCCATGCAGATTTCAGAGTGGAGAAGAAAGACGGAACAGGCTTCTGAAGACCGAGGCTCAGACCCCACCTTGGCAAAGGATGTCAGCTCCCGGGGTCTCACTCAGCTTCTCAGGGCAGGGCTTGGGCGTGGGGACTGCAGTGAACCAGCTCTGCTTCTGCAGCAAAAACATCAGAATCCAGTCTAGAAATTTCTAAAGCACTTCATCAAAGTAGGATAAGATCACTTTATTTGAGTCATGTAGATCATTTTGCCAATGAGTCATGTTAATAACGGCTTCCCAGGGGGCCCAGTGGTCAAGAATCTGCCTGCTAAGCAGGAGATGCAGGTTCGATCCCTGGGTTGGGAAGATCTCCTGGAATAGGAAATGGCAACCCACTCCAGTAATCTTGCCTGGGAAATCCCATGGACAGAGGAGCCTGGTGGGCTACTGTCCATGGGGTCTCAAAGAGTCGGACCTGACTGAGCAACTAAACAAGAAGAACGTGTTAATGATAACTGCTGAAGTTACTAAGCATTTGCTGTGTGCCAGGTGAGAAGCCACGGGCTTTGCAAATCTGAATCACAATTCTAACAGCTGGACTTCAAAAGAAACAGCAGCCTTCCATCGCCTTCATTCAAGGGTGGATATGCCCTTAATGAAGCCCCAAATTAGGAACCAAAGAGCGCATGACCCTAAGAAGAACCACCAGGCTTGCTGTGGGGGCGAGACGCTCCTGGGGGACACTAATTCTCCCCACTTCCCGTCCTGGCGTCGGGCCTCTGATCTTCCAGCTCACAGATGACAAGTCCAGGGGGACCGCTCCTGTGAGTTTCTGTCTCGCTGAGGATGGAGGCGTGCAGACGCGCTGAGCTGCCTTGCTCACTATCAGAGTTTATGAGCGTTAAACTGTGAATTTTGAAGGCCTCGTTTCATTTCAGATTAATCTGCTTTTTTTTTTTTTGAAGTTAAAGCGATTTGCCTCTGCTCTGTGTTCACTGCAGAAGGGGTGGTGGGACCAGGAGTGTTGGTGATCAAGTGTTTTCCCAGGGAACCTCTCCTGCTTCAGACTTAGGGAGTCTCTTCTTTGCAGGGTGGGTCACTGCTGGGACTCACCATTTGGCTTGTCAGTTGCCTCTCAGAACAAATTTATGACAGTAACGGATTTTTTTTTAGTTTCTGGAACTTGCTAACAGAAGGGAGATGAGATGAAACTGTTTGTACCCTACAGATAGTTTCCTCATAAACTGAAGAAAACTATCCCAGTCCTTTAGGCCACTCCCTATACTGGTGATGGAGGCGGGTCAGGGGAAGAACCAGTATAAAACATTGTTAATTCAAAACTCTTAGAAAATGAGCTCTCTCTGACCATCATCCCTCCATCTCTCCATCCCTCCATCCTTCCGTCATCTATCTAAAGAAATGACGATGTGAGCTAAAAACAGCCTGCCTCACACAGGAAGAAGGAATACTAAGCCTAAATAATTTGGCAGTAATGCTTTTCAATATGAAAAAGACATCTGGCCTTAGATGCAGCAACTTCATGCCTAGCACATAAGCCTCCAAAAATCATGACAGGCCTGTGTAAAAACTGATGTACAAGGACCCTCTTCACTGCATTGTGATATAAAAAACTGGAAACAACCTTTTCATTAATAGGACCATTGTTAATTATTTCTCAGCCGCTTGACTGTTTCGTTTCTTAATTCCCCCATTTGTAGAATAAGAATACTCAGAATACTTCTTGTGTGGTGAGGATGAGATGAGTGAATGCCCTGATAGGGTTTAGAACTAGGCTGGGAACGCAGTACATGCTCAATAATTTTAGCCTTTCTTATATTCCAAATAATAGAAACTAACATATATTTATTTTTTAAAAAGGCTGAAGCTGATCCAAATTACTGATTCGCACTTATGGTTAGGGAAAAAATAACCACAAATGACAGAATATGGAGAATATGATACATCAACAAATGTACTTTTCAACCAAGGCCATGTTTCATACTTAACATACAGGTTTATTTGTAGGTGGAACATTTCAGGAAGGATACACAAACGGTGGTGGTCTATAAAAATATCTGCTTAGTCTCTAGAGGGTTAATTTTAAAACACAGAGGAGAAATCTGTCAATGTTCTTCAAAAGACATCTGTCTTCTAAACCAACAATTCTCATTTATAGCTTATGACACATATAGGCTAGAACACGGGCTTCCCAGGTGGCAGAGTAGTAAAGACTGCCTGCCAACGTAGGAGACGCAAGAGACCTGGGTTCGATCCCTGGGTTGGGAAGATCTCCTGGAGCAGGAAATGGTAACTCACTTCAGTACGCTTGCCTGGGAAATCCCACGGACAGAGGAGCCTGGCGGGCTACAGTCCACTGGGTCGCAGAGTCAGACATGACTGACACCACCACCACCATCATAGGATGTAACAGTCCCAGCTGTCTCGTATAGCCTAGTTTGAAACTAGTGGTTTTAATCAATTTATAGTCTGAATCAGTGAGAAACACCAATGATAGTATGTGTTCAGCAAAAAACTCTGTACAGCTCTGCCAGAGCTAAAAAACGTTAGCTTGAAAATGACTGAGATCAATGAAAGTTCATGAAATATAAATTTGTGGGATAAAAAACCTATGCACCCTTCGATCTACATTTTCAATTATCTACTGTGCCAAATACTAGGTATGCATTAATGATAGAAAATCAAAGAACATGCCTTTATATAAGACAGTAGAAGCTGGGCTACACTTTGATATTAGTTAGGTACCTACTGCTTAAATGTCTTTATTTTTTACCAATAACACAACTGCAAAAATGGGCGGAGTCTCTGGTTTAAAAAGAACCATCCACGATTTTGTATTTTGTAATTCAGCATTCGCCTATGCTTGTTAGATGGTCTTTATTGGTGTAAAATCTGGGTCATTTTACAAACACGTGTATTTCTGGGTCCCTCCAGAGTGTAAGCCTGTTCTCATTAGACTTTTCTTTCCCTGACCAAATTCTGTGACTTTCCCGAAGCATCCTTTGACAGCAGTTCATGTGAAGTTATCATCTTTAATGAAAAACGATGCCTGCTTATTCCAAGCCATTTGGTGCCCTCCTGTTAGGGGAGAAGGATCACACTGAATAAGGCTGAAGGTTTTTATTATCACATCGTAAATGAGCAAATGGCATCTGTCAATACAGAGGCCTGCGGGGCCTGGAAGAGGAAGCCACTCTGGGGGAGGCTTCCAGGGACAAAGCGGGTTTTTACTAACCTCCTGATCCAACATCTCTTTTCCTATTTTATTTTGCCTCATTCACTTGGCAGTCTCATAATGCCATTAAAACACCCAAACAGGAAGCTAGCAAACCGTTAGACTGCCCAGCCACCTCGTTACTGAACAGCAGTCAAGAGTTTGAATCCTAGACGATTTTTAGAGTTTTAAGCATGAGTGCGTCACCATCACGTGTGTTTTCACACTCGGAGCCCTGCCTGCTTTGGGTTGTCTTTAGAAGGTATTTCTTGCCAAGAATAACACAGCCTGTTTGCCGAAGTGTTAATTCTCACCAAGTTTTCATATTTGGGTCATAAACATCCTTCCTGACACTGGTAAAATGGCCAAGGTGTTTATGAGCCGCAAGAAATCTTTATGCCAAATGCATAAAAGCAGAAATGGAACTGTTCACATCCATCCTGGGAAGAGCCGTCCTGGTGTGGGGGGTGGGGGGAGGGAGGGGGGTATCTAGAATGATTTCACTGGATGCGGTTACAGTGGAGGTCTCATAAAAATGTTTCATAAAAGGTGATAGTAATTCATGCGTAGAAAGGGGTGGGAGCGGCACACTCGGCCAGGAGGTCTGGAAGATGTACCCCCTGGGGGCTTTGTGCCAGGGTAGGGCAGGGATCTAGCTCAGGAACCATCACTGCTCAGGTTCTGAAATTCTGACAGGTGGGACTTGTGTTTTCCAAAGAAATTTAGAGGCTGGGCATAAACTGAGTTCCTACTTCCACGGGAGTCAACAGCCACCGTGCAGATGTTTCACCCTAAAAACATTCACACTGCATCAGATCTAAATTTGTTCCGATTACGGAAAGATGCCCATGATTGTTTTCCAAAGGCAAATTAAAAAAAACAGCATACACACTGAGAATAACCTGGAGAAAACATCCCAAACATCACAGTGGGTTTACGGAAAGATGTCCATGATTGTTTTCCAAAGGCAAATTAAAAAAAACAGCATACACACTGAGAATAACCTGGAGAAAACATCCCAAACATCACAGTGGGTTTGAATATTCTGCACACTGCATTTCGGTATTGATTGCATTTAAAAATTTTATTTATTTAGTTGCGCTGGGTCTTAGTTGCAGCATGTGGGATCTATTTCCTTGACCAGGGATTGAACTCAGGGGCCCCTGTATTGGGAACACAGAGCTTTAGCCACCAGACCACCAGAAAAGTCCTTTGGAAGTCCATTTTTAAAAAGAGCAATTAGAGATAAAATTGAGAAGAATTGATGCTTTTGAACTGCAAGGAGATCCAACCAGTCCATCCTAAAGGGAATCATTCCTGAATATTCATTGGAAGGACTGATGCTGAAGCTCCAATACTTTGGCCACCTGATGGGAAGAACTGACTCCTTGGAAAAGACCTTGATGCTGGGAAAGATTGAAGGGAGGGGGAGCAGGGGATGACAGAGGATGAGATGGGTTGGATGGGATCACCGACTTGATGGACATGAGTTTGAGCAGGCTCCAGGAGGCGGTGATGGACAGTGAGGCCTGGCGTGCTGCAGTGCATGAGGTCGCAAAGAATTGGACACGACTGAGCGACTGAACTGAACTGAGAGGTAAAATGTCATAGATCTACATCTAGAGACAAATTAAAGAACAGAAACAAGTGCATGTAAACACTGAGTCTGAGGAAGGTCTGCAGTCTTCTGAACTGACTGTGCCGCTGTCCCTTTCCTGGTTTTGATAATGCGCTGTAGTTACGGGGGTGTCATCCCTGCGGAAAGCTGCGGGAAGCCAACGGACAGGTACCAGGGACCCTTCTGGACTATTTTCACACTTTCTGTGATCTATAATTAGTTCAGAATAAAAAGTTGAAACAGTCCAGCTATTAGTTTGTAAACGAAAAACGTAATGAAAAGACAAAGTGATTCATAAAACTGCTCACTGCATATTGTTGAAATTTATAGATATGGATGGCAGAGCAGAATGAATACACAGAATAGACCCAGCGAAATGGCTCACATATTCTCAGAGGAATAGTCAGAGGCTGCCAAAGCACTAACAGTGGTTACCTTAGACGGAAGCTTTTCAGTTGGCGGGTACTTCTTGGTACTTAATTTTTTGTTTTTTGTTTCTTTGGCCGAGTAGTACAGCTTGCAGGATCTCAGTTTTCTGGCCAAGAATTTAACCTGGGTCACCGCAGAAAAGCCTGGAATCCTAACCACTAGACTACCTGGGAACTCCCGGTCCTTAATTAAAAAAAAAAAAAAAATTATGACTATACATCACTTTTAACAGTGTTTGTTGTTTTCTCTCTTTTTTCCTTTCTTTTTGTCATGTACTTTTCTGAGGTTGATTCTTTCCCCAAACTTAAATATACACACACAAACACACACACACACATACATGCATACATAATTGTGTATGTTCAGTTCAGTTCAGGTCAGTCACTCAGTCGTGTCCAACTCTTTGCAACCCCATGAACTGCAGCACGCCAGGGCTCCCTGTCCATCACCAACTCCCGGAGCCTACCCAAACTCATGTCCATCGAGTCGGTGATGCCATCCAACCATCTCATCCTCTGTCCTCCCCTTCTCCTCCTGCCTTCAATCTTTCGCAGCATCAGGGTCTTTTCAAATGAGTCAGCTCTTTGCATCAGGTAGTCAAAGTATTGGAGTTTCAGTTTCAACATCAGTTCTTCCAGTGAACACCCAGGACTGATCTATTTTAGAATGGACTGGTTGGATGTCCTTGCAGTCCAAGGGACTCTCAGGAGTCTTCTCCAACACCACAGTTCAAAAGCATCAATTCTTTGGCTCTCAGCTTTCTTTATAGTCCAACTCTCACATCCATACATGACTATTGGAAAAATCATAGCCTTGACTAGACGGACCTTTGTTGGCAAAGTAATGTCTCTACTTTTTAATACGCTGTCTAGGTTGGTCATAACTTTCCTTCCAAGGAGCAAGCGTCTTTTAATTTCATGGCTGCAATCACCATCTGCAGTGATTTTGGAGTCCAAAAAAATAAAGTCAGCCACTGTTCCCCCTGTTTCCCCAGGCATTTGCCATGAAGTGATGGGTTAGGGTTAGCTGGAATAAAGATTGCCGGGAGAAATATCAATAACTTCAGATATGCAGATGACACCACCCTTATGGCAGAAAGTGAAGAGGAACTAAAAGCCTGTTGATGACAGTGAAATAGGAGAGTGAAAAAGTTGGCTTAAAGCTCAACATATGTGTATGTACATGCATTTAATTTTTGGCCTAGGCAAGTTCTTCTTTACTGCTAACTCTTCTGGGAAAATCTTTTCATGTGTGAAAATGGAAAAAAGACTATTATCTCATAGTTTGGATCCAACTGTCAGTATGATAAGGGGAAAGCTTGGCCTGATATGTTACACTTGACCTCTAAGGAGAAGAGAATTAGAAAATGCTGGGGACCTGCTGTGTGTCAGACTCCTTGCATCCTTTCTCTTAGTTACTCCTCAGTGCAAGCAAATGGGGTAGATATGTTTTTGGATAGTCTTTCAGCAGGTAAGGAAACAGGCATTGAGAGGATAGCAGAGCTCACACAGGTGGTAAGTGGAGGGGCTGGGATTTGAACCCAGAAAGTGTAGCTTGGGTATTTGCACTCTCAACCACTACTTTATTCAACCTCTGGTTGGAGACTTAGGACATCACCGTCATCACAATGACTAATACATAATAAATGTACTTCTGCTTTTGGATTCTTAACCAGTACTACAACCAACACATAATAAAGGGCTCGGCATCACAGACGGAGAATGTAATGAATGACTTAGCACCAGACAACTGAATCAGTGTTGTAATCAGAATTTCCTATGGCTCAAGAAGACAGTGCTGCCCCTCACTGGGTTGTATACAGGATGGGAAGGGGGTATATCAGGATGGAAGGAAGGACTTGAAGCTGCCAGATTCTTTCTGTAAACAGGGCTCCAGACAAGACAGACGGGCAAGAGCAGAAGTCTCGGGGGTCCTTCGGGAAGAAAGAGGAGCAGCATCTGGGGAAGGTGTCTGCAGGCTTCGAACCAGGGTCTCCTGCATTGCAGGCTGATTCTTTACCAGCTGAGCTGCCAGGGAAGCCCTGGATCGACCAGGAGGCTCCAAAGAAATGGCTGGGGCTGTGACAGACTGAATAATCCCACCCCCAAAGATGCCACACCCTAGTCCCTGAGACCTGTGGGTATGTTACCTCATGTGGCAAAAGGGACTGTGCACATATGCTTAAATTAAGAATCTTGAGAAAATCAAAGATGATCCCAGATTATCCAGGTGGACCAGTACAACTGCAAGGGCAGCAGCAAGCCAAATAAAGACGTAAAAGATGCGACGACAGATGCAAGAGGTGGGGTGGTGTGCGGAAGCCTCCAGGAGCCGAGGGACGCAGGCGCCCTGCAGGAACGAGCCAAGGCGAAGGACAAGCGCTTCTACTGGGGCCTCCAGAGGGGGCCAGCCTCACTGTGTGGCCCTGACTTCAGTCCGGGGAGAAGGATGTTGGCTTCTGGTCTTCAGAACCGTAAGGTAACAGACTTCTGTTGTTTCAAATCACTGAAGTTTGTAGTAATTTGTCAGAGCAGCAATAGGAAATTAATACAGGGAATATGAGTGCTACTCAGTCCCAAAGGAAACTGAAAATGTTGGGGGTGTTCATTGCAAGGATTGATGCTGAAGCTGAAACTCCAATGCGTTGGCTACCTGATGAAAAAAGTTGACTCACTGGAAAAGAGCCTGATGCTGGGAAAGATTGAGGGCAGGAGGAGAAAAGGGTGACAGAGGATGAGATGATTGGATGGCATTAACGATTCAATGCACACGAGTTTGAGCAAACTCTGGGAGATAGTGAGGGACAAGGAAGCCTGGCGTGCCGCAGTCCATGGGGTCGCAGAGTCAGACAGGACTGAGTGACTGGACAACAACAATAATGAGCGCTACTGGCTTTAAATGGACCCCTCTTCAATTGTTGTTATTTATTTATTTTAAAGGTCCATTTTATGATATGTGTGTGCATGTGTGTGTGTTCTGTTGTGTCTGACTCTTTGCAACCCCATACACTATAGCCTTCGAGGCTCCTCTGTTCATGGGATTTTCCAGGCAAGAATACTGGAGTGGGTTGCCATTTTCTCCTCCAGGTAATTTTTTTAGATAGGGAAAAAAAAAAGATAAGAATTCTTTGTAAACTAATTAATTTTTGTTGCCTTATTGTGCTTTTTAAGTGTGTCTTTGTGTGTTGACTGAGCTGCATGGAGTCCTTGATTTTATTTGGATTAAGTGTTGGAATCAAGATTGCCAGAGAAATCAAGCTGGAATCAAGATTGCCAGGAGAAATGTCAATAACCTCAGATATGCAGATGACACCACCCTTATGGCAGAAAGTGAAGAAGAACTAAAGAGCCTCTTGATAAAAGTGAAAGAGGATAGTGAAAAAATTGGCTTAAAACTCAACACTCAGAAAACTAAGATCATGGCATCTGGTCTCATCAATTCATGGGAAATAGATGGAAAAACAGTGGAAAAAAGTGACAGACTTTAGTTTTGGGGCTCCAAAATCACTGCAGATAGTGACTGCAGCCATGAAATTAAAAGACACTTGCTCCATGGAAGAAAAGCTATGACCAACCTAGACAGCATGTTAAAAAGCAGAGACATTACTTTGCCAACAAAGGTCCGTTTAGTCAAAGTTATGGTTCTTCCAGTAGTCATGTATGGATGTGAGAGTTGGATCATAAAGATTGAAGGCGGGAGAAGAAGGGGATGACAGAGGATGAGATGGTTGGATGGTATCACCTACTCGATGGACATCAACTTGAGCAAACTTTGGGAATTGGTGATGGACAGGGAGGCCTGGTGTGCTGCAGTCCATGGGGTCACAAAGAGTCAGATGTGACTGAACTGAACTGAATTAATCGTTAGTGATAAAAACCCAAGAGCTGATTTTTACTTCACAGAATGGAAAACCATGGCACAGTCAGACTCAAGCTTCTCTAAAGAACCAGAGTTGGAAGCTGTATGCACATTGCAAAATTTCACCCTCCCCACTATGTTAATCGATACAGAGTCCAATATAGTAAGTCTATAAGGATACAAGGGGAAAAATCAGGCGTTTTTGCAGGTGCGTACTGAGTTGCTTCAGTTCTGTCTCTTTGCGACACTACGGACTATATTTAGCCCTCTAGGTTTCTCTGTCCATGGGATTCTCCAGGCAAGAATACTGGAGTGGGTTGCCACGCCATCCTCCAGGGGATCTTCTTGACCCAGGGAATGAACTCATGTCTTCTTGACCCACCATTGACTGGTGGGTTCTTTATCACTAGCGCCATCTGGGAAGCCCATTTTTGCAGGTAGGAGAGGGCAAAGGTACAATATAAAGGGAGGGTTATTTTCTTTAAAGAAAAAAAAAAACTTTGTAAAAAGGTACATACTCTTGTAGACACATTTTAAAATACAGATAAAAAGAAGAAAAAGAAATTCACTTGTGAAAATATAAAACAGATAATTTCTGTTGGCAAAAATGATGTCAGTGTATTTTCTATGCCTAAATATACTTACATAGGTTCACCAAAAAGTGATCACACAGCACAAACCACTTTGTGACGGCTTGGTGCACAAAATCATCACGAACATCTTTCCATGTCAATAAATAAATTTCCTTAAAGCTGGCTTCCAAAGAATGCTAAGAGGTATTGGGAGGCGCTCCGGAGGGAGATGACCTGGCAAGTCTGGGTGAGAGGAATTTGGGGAGCATTTCTCAGATGCTTTGATATGACAGTAACAATGCACAGGTCTCAAAGGGCTGCACAATAGGATGTTTTTCCACTCTATGTTACCACGGGACTGTCCATCCCCGCCTCAACATTTTTTAAAGTTGAGAATAAATGTACATAAATTAACCATTTTGAAGTGAACCATCCAGTGGTATGTAGTGCATTCACAATGTGCAACCACCATCTCCCTCAAGTTCCAAAACGTCTTCATCACTCCAAAATAAAACCCTGTATTCATGAAACAACTGAATCTTCCTTATCCTGGCATCAGGAGCTTCCTGGTTCTTTCAGGTATTTGTTGAATGAATAAATAAAGATAGGGTTTAAGACTATAATAACAACTCTTGAGACTTTGATCTGCAAGGCTACCTATTTACAAGAAGACAAAAGCCTGCGATATAAATCCACACTCAGTGATAATCCAAGAGGGTCATCTCTCAAGTCCCAGAGAAATAGAGAATCTGC